CATTGAGGTTCTTCTCTGACGTTTACTGGAATTCCGGTGCCATGACTTTGCAACAAGGCCCCGCACCTGCAAACAGGAGTGCCAAACAGTCATCAGATTCTACAGTCTGCAATGAGGTGAGATCTATTCTCCACTTGTTGAAGGACTGAAATAAAGAAGAGATTGGTAGAGCTCAGACAATATACCATCGAGAGTGTACATGTTGAGGACGAGGACTTTCTCTTGTCGGACAACGCCGGAGTGACGACGGTTCCACGTCGCCGGCGAACTCTCAGCTCACGCAAACACACAAGCTCTGATGAAGAACTCGCTGTTTTTGGTGCTGCAGTGGGCAACTTTTCTGTGACTACAGTTGTTGAATTATACGGCTTCTGACCTCCGAGGCTTAGCAAACTTTGTAAGCTATTCTTATTTATTACTTAGACTAGATAGAAAGTAGAAATCGGCAGTCTCATGCATTTCCGTTTAAAAAATAATGTTGAAATAAGCAACAATTATTACAAGAGACCATGGCCACTCGGCCCCACATGCGCGCCACGCTCCTCTTCACAGTGAATTGCCATCCCCATTCCCCAAACGCAAGAGGCCTGGAGAGAACTAAGGGCCCGAGCGAACGTGGCTCGGAGGCCCCCAAATTGCAGGGTCTAGTTCGTTTCTTTGGACTCCACGCCGCGGGCAACTACGAGTCGTGGGTCTGTCGCGGGGGTGTTCGGCGGGTTTATTCCGCTTATCTCGCTCAATCGGCGCGGAACCAAACAGGTCCTGAACATGGAAAACTAATCCTAGACTGTGTACAAACTGAACAGACACCCTGCTCGCATCAGGTTGCGTAAACTATCGTAAAGTGTCCTTGGATTCTCAAAAGAACGTCACATATGCACCCCCTGGAGGATATCGATAAGGCCAGGCCCAGGAGAATTCGGCTTACAGCCTGTTTGATAGAGCGCCTAGCTACTGTTTGGCAGAATTTCCGATGAATTCAGCCTAGAAGCTGTTTTCGAAGCACCGGCAAACATGCCCCCTAGTCACCCACGACAGTGCCCCCTCCATCCCCAAATAACTGTCATTTTCGCTATCCGAGAAACAACTTTGACTAAATATATAAAAAAAATAATGATATTTATAGTAAAAATTAATGCATTAGATAGATCGTTGAATCTATTTTCATAAAAAAAACTTTGTTTGAAGATACAAATGTTGTACGTATTTTCTATAAATCCAGTCAAACTTATGGCACGAAAACCAAAAATAACATTTATTTAGGAATGGAGGGAGTACTCACTATGGCCAAGATCCAATTCTTGTTGGAGCCATCATTTTTTTTTTTGGAAGATCCGACTTTATATTACACTCTTACAAGTGCGAGGAGCGCTGTCTCATACAGCACACTGCCGTATGAGATTGGAGCTATCATATTTCATATGGACCTTAAAAGGAAATTTGTCTAGAATCAGACCATAACTTATTGAACATACAAATACATTCTAAAATACATTCTAAAGTATCTGCATCCGTAAGTTCCGAGACAACAAAAATGTCAGCTTACTATAGATTGAAAATCCGATCAAGTCATTTTGTACACACTCGGATTTTCACCAACGCTCCGCAACTTTATATTACTAATTCAAATACAGTACACATGACATGCAAATGCTACACATACCGTACACTTGCTCATACGGACACGCACATTCACCCTACCTCTATGACTTCAAGAGATCTTGAGGTAGACAAAATGCCACTAGACACCTCATTGCCGGTATGCACATCATCTGCCACTTAAGAGTATAAAAATGATTCACCATAAATATAAACACACGTGTTGAGATGAAAACTAGACTTTGGCCTTGTTTGGATGCGTATGTATTCATCTCAATCCACATATGTTGAAGTGGACTAGAGTGAAATTAAACTAAGTTCCATTCTAATCCACTCCAACACATGTGGATTTAAGTGGATACACGTACATCCAAGCAAGACCTTTGTTGGATATGTTCCATCAAAAAGAACATAATTAACCGAGTGTTGCCAATATTAATAATAACTGTAAATTGGCAACTTCAAATCCTGAGTACCAAATTAATCTCTCTCCGAAAAAAGGAAGGCGCGCCAAACTAATATCAGCAGAAATAGATCAACTGTAGTCAAGCTCACAAATCTCTTGCAGGTCAGATGGCACAATGCTTGTATGATATTATTTTGCTAGACATAGTTACATGCATATGTATACACACAGGCTACATTCGGAGGATTCGGCAGGTTGCGACTCACGATGAAGTTGGTCCGCAGTCACAGAGTCGTTCTCAAAAACTGTACAATGAAGTAGATCACGGCCAGGAGAAGCCCAATCTGGTACACATCCTGATTGAAGCCATCATCTGGCCTTTGAAAGAACTGCACCAATAAAACCAAACAACGCGATGAATAACTGGCGTAACTGAACTGACCTCATCAGAATTTTGGAGTATCAGAAGCGAGGATAGCCAAATAATCTGGAGATTGGTGATGTAGCAGCACAGTTATGAAACTGAAAAGGTTCATGTACCTTTGTAGGATCACTAGAAGGATCTGGATAAGTCTCGAAATTCTGATCTCCCTTTGTCAGCCCAGATGCCGTGCTCTTAGCAGCTTCGATTGTATCCTTCCCGGACTCAACGGTGGAGTAAACCCTTCTGGACAACCAAAAGTATGCTTGAGCTGGAAGAGACGAGGCAGAGAGGTCCCAGGAGTCGACCTGTTCTAGTACTTGTCCACTTATCTGGTTCAGGACGAACTGCGATTCAACACGGACAATGACGTCACCTCCCATGGTCGCAAAGAACGGATTCTTAGGCTTCCCTCTGAATGCCCATTTAATGGTCAGATTGCTTGTCGATTGCATTGACATTTCCTGGACTGTCTGACGCAATAATAAGAGTGTTGATTAGATGCTTCTGAATGTTGTAGGAGGTAGCATGCTGAAAACATTTAACATGATGACATGTTGTGCAACAAGTTTGGGTTAAGATACTGGATTGAAGTATCTAACATTTAAGATGATGACCTATTGTGCAACAAGTTTGGGTTAAGGTCCTGGATTGAAGTATCTAACATTTAAGATGATGACATATTGTGAAAGTTTGGGTTAAGATCCTGGATTGAAGTATTGAATTCCGCAGGATTATCTGGAACCAATCTAATGATCAATGATATGAGTCGTAGATGCTATTGCAATCTGATCGATTCTTACCACTACAGGCTTTTCCAATGCTTTGGTGATCCACAATGGCCTCTTGTACTTCTCACGCCCAACAAATGCCCTGAGTGGGTCCTGAAAGAAGATATGCACAGCAAGGATAAGCATAAACCATGCATATAACTACAAGCATGTTGCATCTGAAGGATGAAGTTAGGCCATTTGCAAATTGAGAGGCAGGCAGGTAATATGTTTTCTTCCATGGAAAGGAACGGACACATAATTACTAACGTCTTGGTGTTTGTTACTTGCCGTTCCAACTGCTCCATTCAACCAATACGAGCAATGACCTTGCAAAAACTTTCTACACACAGGCAAAGGGGGCAAGGGTAACATAGTGCTGCTATAAGTGTTCAGTCACTATCAACTACTAGTGACTAACAAACGATCTCCTGTCTAACATTACCTAGTTGAAATTTTGACACTTCGTTTATGCCCTCAACTTCATAAGGAAATCATTATCTAAAAAACTTCATTAAGGAAACGACCGCCTTTCAAGTTTTAAAGTGCAAAAATCCAAAGTGAATATTGATCTAAGAACTCGAATTGAAGTCTCAAAGAGCCGTGTTCATGTACAAGTACAGCCAAATGTAAAAGATTTCGCGTAGCAGGGGGACTGATGAGATGGGATCACATGAGCAATGATCAGCACCTTGTATTTGACGGAGACGGCGTAGCTGTTGAATGCGCGGTTGTCCTCGCGCAGCTCGATGATGTCCCGCGCGATCTGTCTCGCCGTGGACTCCACGTAGGGGCTGCTTATGCATTCGAAGTCGTTGCAGAGCTCCCCGAAGTCCATGCCGTCGACCATCTTATCTGTCTGAGACCTCTCCTCGGGGAGATCCTTGGAGTCATCGACGACTGTGCACACGGTTCAACGCGTCGTCAGCACGCACGCACGGACGCGCGTCGCGGCACGGGTCACTGGTCAGGGAAGGCTCGCGCGAGGGTCTAGTCTGGGACTCACCGTGCAACGGCGGGAGACGGAGGCGGCGGCGAGGAGAATGGACGCCGGAGATGTTCAGCCGGCGGAAGGCGGCAGAGGACGAGGACGAGGGCGAGGGGCGGCAGGAGCAGGTGAGCGCGGTGGCGGTGGGGGTGGCCATTGGTGGCCCATGGCGCGGACGGCGTGGCGCGGCGTGAAGACGCGCGGGCGCGTGGGGCTTGGCCACTGCGGATAAGGCCGCGGCGCGCCACGGCCTCTCGTTTGCGTGCTCGCCGTCCTGTTCTGCTGCGCTGCCCCGCGTGGCCTGGCCCAACGGCCTATTTTTCGCGGGAAAATGGACGCAGCTTTATTTTCTAGTGGGCGTGCTTTCTTCTCAGCCCAACTTCCCATTCTCTTCGTAAATCCGGAGTACTCTAGTTCAGCTAGTGCCATTTTTCTGATTTTTTCATATAACATGCGGCTAGACAGGCATTGATCCGGCAGATCATCGACAACCTAGACGCATCACATGCGTTCATTGATCTTTACTGTCTTCCCAACTGAAAGTCTCGAACATCTCTTCAGTTTCGTCAGATAACGAGTATTCAGTTCGTGTGAGCTTGACAGCGCAAAGCCTCGAGCCCTGCCCTCGATAAAAGTACTGCCAGCGCACGCCAATGTTTGGTTTGGAACATGGAAATCTGACCCAGTTACAAGTCATCTAGCCATTTAATAACTCAGAAAAAACGTACGAAGCCCGCATGGATTTCTTGCAGCGAAGAATGTACAGTCTAGGACAAACTATAGACTGTTTCCCGACAAAAAAAAAAAGGAGAAACGTTACTCTTGGATGAAATCATATACAGTGTGAGGATATAGCAGTGTGCTGTCTTCCTTGTAATGGAGGAGGTAGTAGCATTTGATGCAGAAGTAGCAGGGATTGTTCAGAGCCCACTTATCGTCGACCGTCACCTTCGTCGCGAGATAGATCTGGCACACCGAGCACTTCTGCAGGCGCTTCTGCAACTGGAATGTCTGGAGAGGGTATTCCGCTTGGTTCTGTGTGTCATCTGGGTGGATCAACCTCATATCCCTTATCACGATCGTGTGCTTGCAGTTCCCCTGAAAATGTGCAACAAGGTATCAGAATAATGCTGTGCAGTTAAAATTAGCAATGAGCAAACATCAAGAATCACATGCATTGCAGTTCAGATAATAAATGCTAGATTCCATAAAAACGTAGCATAAGAAAGCAACTTATAATCACATTCTATCCTTTTTATCTTTTTCTTGAAAGTAAATAAAGACAAGAACCAAGCCTGTCTGGTTAGTACAGTGTGCCGTAAAGCACACCTGCCCAATGTTTTCCTATCTCATATTGTGATCGATAAACATTCAACTTGAACATATGAGATATCAAAGCCAAATAAAAATTTTAATATAAAAGATCTGGAAAAACGAAGAAAATCAGATCCACCACACAAACTTTTCACCAAGGAAAATGAAATTATCTGAAACAGTAAGACAAAAGAGAAGATGAAAACCTGATGGCAGTAGAGGTACGCAGCACCGGGCCGGAAGTGCAGGTTAGAGAAACGAGTCATTTGCATTTTTTCAGATTTAAATTCAGGCACATTAGAAATACTCAAACCGCTCAGCAAGTCCTTTTGCCGTTTCTTCAAAACACCAGATGTTATGGCATCCCACTTCTCTGCTACCTCATCACTGGAATTCTCAAGCCAATCGAGTATAGGCTTACTGTAATCAGTGGCAGAATAATGTCTTGTATCATTGTAGAAAGTGTCCTGACATAGAAGTGGAGATTTAATAATTATCCACAGTTCTTCGAGAATAAATATCCAGAAACGTATTCAATTTTTAAAAAAGGAAAACGATACCTCGATAAGGAAATACCCAGAATGATCGTGTTGCCCAGCCACCTTCATCAGCTTATCAGTCAAACAACAAATGTTGTCCCTCAGATCAGTAAGGAATTGGCTTCCCAGCACAAGAAGTTCCTGGGACTGCAAGGCATGGTAGTGACCATAAAAAATAAGGCCTTCACATAAAAAATAAGTATGTGTAACTGAAGGGTAAGATATACCTTAACAGAGGCATATGTCTTCTGATAAATTTCAACACAAAGAATTACTTCTGGATGGACCACAGGTCTGTGCTTGTCAGATCTTAAAGCTTTGTTCTGGAAACAAAATAGATTGTAAGATCAAAATTCCAAAGACAGGAGTGTGTAAATGGGTGCTACAGATGAACTGAGATGGTTCAAACCTTCCAAGGTGCACCGATTAGTTTAAGAGATCTCGCCATTTCAATTTTCTCAGATGATGACTTGGAACCTTTGGGCTTAACAGAATTGCCACTGAACCAAAGAATCATATTCATTTAAAATTGTGGCAAGAAAGAGATAAAATGAAATAGACTAATTCATGGTGTCAAGTGCATAATGACAAAAAACAGACAAAAGTTGTAATCTGTTCTAGAATCATATTGCCAACTCATCATGGCTTGCATAATAGCATTCCAGATTTGATCAAGAATAACTAAAAACCTAGAATCGTAATATATGATTGTTAACAATATGCAGCAATAGATTTTTAACTGACTCACCTGAAAGAATGCAGCCTTGCTGTAAATTTGTCTTCGTCTTGCTTGGCCTTGATTTGTACCCACTTCTCTGCTTTAGTAAGATAGCTTCCCTAATAATGATCATGGAAATAACAAAAAGATATAATTATGCAAAAGCATAATTTTTTTTTACAGAGATGGCATATGTAATTCAATGTTAAATGACAGAAATCGCAGGTTCCTCTTACATACAAGAATATAAAGGATACAGATACTAATACAAAGATTGACCTAATCCTCAACAAAAGCATACCTTACAATGTAACTTGTGAATATTTCATATATTACAGTAACAACAACCTATAGCATTTACATCTACCATGGACTTGTGGTTTCTAGTATCTTCAGATTTACAGATTAGCAGTGACTGCAAAATTAATTTTCGTAACCAGATGGCTGTGCTACCTAAACAGGCTAGTCCTATATGCATTTGTATCACAGTGACAAGGGACATGGCTGAATGGATTAATCAGCAATAGCACCTTACTCAAATACAGGATACATGTATAATGAACATAATTCGTTCAGGTGGTCAAAAGATGGAGAAAAATTAATGTAACAATTCTGCAGCTGCACTAGCTGACTTCTCAAACAATTGCTGTTAACAAAAACAAAAGGTGGTCAAAAGATGGATAGACGTACTTGTAAAATCTCTGCTCGAACCTCTCTATCAAAATGTCTGCCTCTCTTTTTGCCCTTCCTACATGTTGTTTGTCCATTAGTTCCCTCTAGATCATGTGGAACAATTGACATACCATCAACAGGTGATTCAGAGACACCATTTTCAGCTGATGGATTTGAAGGCGTCGTTCCATTTCCCTCACTACGTTCTGGTTCAAATGGTACGATTGACATGTCAACAGCTGATCCATGGCTCTCTCCTTCAACTGGAGAATCTAGTGTGACTGTTCCAGTTTTCCCCTTCCTGCATCTGGCTTTTGCCTTTGTGCCTCTGGGCTTGCTATTGCTGCTTTGTGATTCATTTAATACGGCCGCCACATCTTCAACAGGCAATCCAGAGCTCTCTCTTTCAGCCGATGGGCTTAGTGTTAGGGCCTCATTTGTAGGTGTTGGATTCGCTGACATCCTGCATATGGCAAATTCAAGGATACATCAGATTCTAACAGCCAAATAACACATCATGAGAAAGAGACTTTGGTGCGCAAAGATCAGAACGATGTCACCGGGGTGGGGGGGGGGGGGGGACACAAATGCCGACTTGCAAGTTCCATTGCAAACTTTGTAGAGCCTACCTCGCTAAATGTTGACTGTCACTAAAACCCCATTTGGATCCACCAGCTAATAGTTAGCTGCTAAAAATTAGCTGGAGGATCCAAATGAACCTAGCTAAAAGGTCAACTGATTATTAGCTGGGCACCCATCTAATAACTATCTCACTAGCTATCCCAATTCAGCTAATAGATTGCAAAAAGGCACTTTTGTTCTCCCACCTACCCACATGCCCTACCGATAGCAAATGGAAAAGGAATGGCATTATAGACAAAATCACTAATGCATCCACCTGAAGGGCATTACAGACAAAATCACTAATGCATCTACCTTTTATCTAGTGAATTCAAACAACACCCAGCTTAGGTAGCCAGCTAATATTAGCTATTAGCTATGAACTATTAGCTGCTACTGGATCCAAACAGGGCCAAAGGCAGACCAGTAACCACCATGCAATCAATAATGAAGGTCCTCTGCCAATGTTGCATCTAATATGACTTGCCTAAATGACCATAACAAGATAACAAATGAACCACAAAGTGGACCAACCAAGCAATGGTCAAAGCAGCAACTTACCCTCCATCAAGTGTTTGATCCTCTGATTGTGGTTGAGTGCCAGAATCCGAGTCCTAGAAAGAGAAAAAACAAACATCAAAGCTTCAAATGATAATGCAATCCAAAACAAAGTGATTAAAGCAAGCTAACTATCAGTAGAGGCCACCTCCATAGCCTCCTGGAGGGCGCGCTCCACCAGCTCCTCCTCAGAGAGGACCTTTAGCTCATCGACACTGCAAAAACGCATCCACGCATTAATAGGCACAGGGAAAAGGATTGTTACTTCGACACGACAGAATGAATCATGGGATTACCAAAGCTCATCGTCAAATTCGTCGCCGGGGTCACCCAATTCGTCTTCCAAGGCCTGGATACAAACGAAACAAGGAGGGAGTCATACCCAAAGCTCTGGGGGAAATAAAAGGTTGGTTAGGGTTTTAGAATAGTTGCAAACAGGCTCGGTTGGCACCTGGAGCTCGTGGAGGGCGGAGGACATGAACTCTGGTACGGTGGAGATGGGGCCCACCATGAAGGGGACGAACACCGGGCCGCCCAGTGCGAAGGGCACGCCCTGCCGCTCGCCGGCGGCGGAGCTCTCGGCTCCCTCTCCGTCGCCCGCCATCACCGCGACGGCGCTTCTCTTCTCCTTGTCGATGATGTACACTGTTGACGATTTGACAGTGCCGCCCACCTAGAACTAGAAGCCTGGTGGTGAGCACAGGACCTGCGGGGACGCAGGCGCCGTGCACTGGCCTCGCCGTGCCCTCGCCGCGTCGCGCGCCGGCTCCCCCTGATCGACACGCTCGTGGTGGAGCGCCGACGTACAGCCCGGCGGCCCTGAACCGCCTCCCTCCTCGTCCTGCCCAGCGCCCACACGCCGTCACGCCGATGGGCCGCCGCCACCGTCGCCGCCCGCGCGAATCGTCGTGATCGCCACCCGTGCCCCTCTCGGACTGTGCCTTACGGTTGAATGGGCCCAAACTATGGCCCTTTGTTTTGTGGGCTCTATGTGGCCAACCGGCATTGCTTAGCCCAACTTGGCGTGGACACCAAACAAGGCGTCGTTTTCCCATTTTCATTTCAATTTTATTTATTTTTTGTAGAAATAGTTCTTCGAACCAAAATATCAGAAATAATATACCTCCCTCGCCAATTGAAACAGTGATATGTAAATATCGTTGTTTTAGTTTGAGATTTATTAAAATTTCTATATGAAATGGCGAAATAGTGGGCTAATCGTTAATCTTAGGGATGCAACTGACATTGATAATTCTCCTATTTGAATTTGAATTTAAAAAATGGAGAAATATATGAATTATAATCATGGAGAAATGTGTGGATACAGTTAATCCAAATTCGATTTGTATGCAGAAGCAAGTAGGATGTAGAATTGGTAAAATCAAATGAATATGGATTATCCAAGGCCTATATAGAATAGTCAACTACTTTAAAGAGTCTGCACGTTCAACGTTTTAAGAGTAAGTACAGTAAAGAGTTGTATGTTGATGTAGAGAAGAGAGTAGAGGAGAGATGAGATAAGCGAGCTATAAGTTCACAGCCAGCTTATATACATAAAAACTAAGAAACCCTGTGAGAGAGATAAATAAGTCATGTATTAATAGTGAAGAGGTAACTACTACATGATTAGGCTAAGAGATAGACTGCAAAGATCCATACTGCTAGCAGTAGAATGTATTATTAGATTTGCTCTAAGTCCAGCTACCCCCCTACACGTAGTATTTTGTAGCCACCTTCAAACATGTGTGTCTAGTTATCTTGGCTCTTCTAAATTATGAGATATGGTGGCTAGGACTAAAACAAGTTCTTGTTCTGCTGCTGCTTTATGACTCCGGTTAATGTTCATCATAAAAAGACACGCGTCACCTTTTTTTCGAAAAGCTACGTGCACGAAAATTGTCGGGCATATATTAATAAAGAACCATCCTACAATAAAAATACACTAAAAAAACCAGCCATATGGTGGAAGCAACAACATGGCAACCACCACAATAAAAACCACACGTAACTATGTCTTATCTAATTATTCAAGTCCACTTTTGCTCTGACATCGATCAAACTGAGTAATCTATATTCACAACTGAATCTATTTAACATCCGCTCCGCTACAAATTCGACAAAAGAAAATGAATTAGAATATAATATGAAGAAAACATCGTTCTCTGCGATTTTGTCCATTTTCATCCCCAGCTACACGCATTAATGGTGACTTATCGCATGCCATGTGGCGTTTTTTCTTTTCTTCTCGACTTACTATGATTCAGCGAGCTATCATGTGTACTCCAAGGTCAGCATAGTTTTAGAAGCTAATTGTTGTCCGTAAAAACTCGTCTGATGATAAAATGTACACGAAAATTGGATCTCGTGATGGTATCTACAACTTTATAAAGTAATTTTTCTTTTCATTTTAATCCATATAGGTACCAAAATAGTTATTAGGAAGGTCGTCTTTCTGTGAACTAAGTGTAGCTTAGCTACCATATTTGTGATGAAACTTATTCACGTTATAGTAATTGATGGATGTTTACATTTAAAAAAATCTAAAATTTAATGGTGCTATTATTTTCGGTACTGGGTCTGCAGGGGATTTCTAAAAGCTGTTTGACGCGGTCAGGCACTCGCGCTAACGGCGGAGCACAATAGGATTAGGATTCAACCACGACACCACAAATAGGCGAACGCAAGAGAATTTTTTTAATTAAGGAACAAATGTATTCCGGTCTCCCACATTCATAATTAAATGGGTACAACCAAACTGAACCAATACAAAATCACGGTCTAAAGATCAAAGACGGCTATCGGTGTGAAAAGTGACAAACAAGTAAATATTTATAGTTTTGCCGTGCGTTATGATCAGATGTGGCATAGCACTCAACGATACAGGATTTATACTGGTTCAGGCAACAGGCCCTACGTCCAGTTGAGGTCGGTCGGTGACTTTATTCCTGAGCTCAGGTGTTCGAAGTTTGTTGTGGGGTTATAAACGAGTAAGGAATAAGAAAGGGGGGTGTTAGAGGCCTGGTCGGACTCTGAACCGAGTGGAAAAGAGTGACGGATGCTCAAACGTACGCTAAGTATTGGAACGTATGCTCGGTGTGTCCGAGCTTATCAGCTGTTGAGATCGTGTAGACTGTGTAGCTGTCGAGTCCTAGAGCTATTGATCTGTCGAGTCGACCAGTCTTCGGGGGGCTTTTAGGAGAGAGATCATCCATTTTTATAGTTGAAGGGGATGACCTTACAAGTTAGAGAAAAGAGAGAATGTATACGTGTACTGCCTAGTCTTGTTGCCCACACCATCGGGTACGGGATGGCCGTCGGCGCCCACAATACTGTATATGTTCAGACACATCTAGCAGGCTCTACCATGTTCGTCTGGTACGGCAAACGACAGCGCCCACAATACTGTTTATACTCTGACACGTCTAGCAGGTTCTACCGTGTTCGCCTAACATGCCCTGATGGCACCGTCCTACAGATGCGCAGGGCATGGCAGGGTACAGTCCTCGGTATTGCGGTTGACTTGAGCGCCTTTCCTTATCTGCTCCACCTGCTCCCTGGACCCACACTGAGCGGGCGTCCCCGGTCAGTCGGTCCCGACCGTCTTGGTCAGGAAAGAGCAACGAGTAGAGGTCTGGCGTATCCTCGGTCGGAGAAGAGGGTTAGAGTCGGACTGCGGTCCCACCTTGGCCAGGCCTTCCGGTCGGGGACTGGATCGTTGTCTCGGCCTGTCATTATGTATCTGACCTAGCGGTGCTGTCGTTGCGTCGCCTGCTGGGCTGGATTTTGCAGGGAAGCGAATCCATTGAGGACCCCGGGTTTATGAACCCGACAACTGCTAAGCAGGTTAACCCCAACTCCAGACTACTGCTAACCAAACAACACTTACAATGTCTAAACACAGCGCATAGGATGCAGCCAAACCAAAGACTGCTAAACAACTAAACAGCTAAACCCCAACTCCAAACTGTAGCTAAACAGGCAACACTCGTAGTGTCCAAACACATCACTCAGGATATAGCCAAAAGAAGCTAGTTCTCTAAACTCTTGCGTTGCTTCCACACCGAACTTCTGAAGATTTCCAACACCATCGTTTCCAACTTCTTGCATCTAAACTTCATAGACATTCTCTCTTCCTCTTTAGATAGCAACGACCATTCCCAGATCCAGTATGTCCCCCTGAAGATTACTTATAAAAAGGAGTTAGTATTTTTCTTATTGAACACCATATCATTTCTATTCAACCACAACGCCCAGCACATCGCTGCTAACCCCACTAAAATTTGATTTCTCAATTTAGGAGAGAAACTCCTAAGCCATGAACCAAACAAGTGAACATTATTTTTTGGTGGTTGAATATTGAAAGTGATAAATAAAGTATTCCACAAGAATCTTGCCACACGACAGTCAAAGAAGAGATGTTGAACTGTCTCTTTGAGACTACACAGGCTATAACTATCCTCCCCTTTCCATCCCCTCTTGAGCAAATTATCTTTTGTCAGTAAACAGCCCCCCCCCTCTTTAGGTACCAAAGGAAGATTTTTATTTACAGGGGCAATTTTGCTTTCCAGAACGGATCTTTTCCACCCGTCCTTACGGATTTCATGCTTTCCCTATACAGTGCCTGTGTTGAGACATTGCCATTTTTCCTTAATTGCCACAAGGACTTATCCTTGTTCTCATTCAGCATAGCAGGCACTACCAGAGCGACCAAATCCAACCACTCGCTCAACCTCTCACCCACTAGCGCCCTCCTAAACGAGATATTTAACGGAGTTGTGCTTAGCACTTTGGCAACTGAGTCCCCCTAGAGGGAGAATGTCCTCTCTTTTGTCAAGAGACCGGGTCCCATTTCCATTTTGTTGACAAAACACGCTATATAATGAGAGAATCAGCAACGGCGGCAAGCAATCCAACATACGAGAGAGGAGACAGTCCTCGATCAAGACTTCGTTATCACAGTCACAGACACTTCCTCTGTCGTTCTCTGAGTTCTCAACAAGTTTCATTTTACGTCCTTTTATGTAAAGATTCCTAGAGTTAGAGTAGACTGCAGACCATACTACAGCCTGTTCGGTTGGCTGATTCGTGAAGAAGTACTGCTGACTGATTTGTGTGAGAGAAAAATATTGTTTCAGCTGAAAATTTACGATCGTTTACGACAAGCCACAGCCAAACGAACAGGCTGTAGTCCCTCCCGTGTCCCGTCACTAGAGGTAAGTACACATTTCACTGCAGGGTAATTGTCAAGAGGTAAGAATGGATTACCATCACCTCAGTTCTATATGTCGAAGATTAAAACGGCATTATTATTTACATAAATATGGGTGAAATCTTACGGAAGAGACCACATGTGCGTGCCGCGTGCAGGACCTTTGCCCTGTTCGCTTGGCTGATAAGTCATGGCTAAAAATACTGTTGACTGATTTATCGTGAGAGAAAAATACTCTTCATTAGCTGAAAAAATACGGCTTGTAAGCGAAGTGAATAGGGCGCTTCTCCGTTCCTCCCTCCTGCTCCTGGTGTCCTCTCTGCCACAACCATCCTATGGGGCCACAGTGCAGTGCATTTGTTTTTTTGTGTGCACAAGTTGCACACGTGCACTTCCAATACAACGTTTCAAAATGAGAAGCGGTATTTATGCGTACATGATGCATTTTTTTAACCAAATTACGTGGCGGGTGATACTGTGATTGTTTACGGATCATGGCGACAGGCGACTCTTTCAGCGAGTTGGCGGACAGCGGACTCACTCGGTCGCCGTCAACCATTCAAATCCGCACGCACTGACAGTAACTATATAAGCCGCAAACATCGTTGTCAGCACCCAGCATTACCAAATCCTCCAACGACAAGTCACACCCTAACCGTCTCGATGTACTAGTGCCGCATAGGTAGAGCTTCTGCTCCTAGTCTTAGTAATATATATCTACTACCAAGTCTTTAGGTAGAGCCACGCCCGTTTTATGTAGCCATGGACAATAAACTTGTGTGTAGTGCAAAAGAAGCCTTAGAGGATACGGAACCATGGTACCATGGAGTGAAGAAACAAGGAGAGAAAAGTACAAGTTTATAGTAGGACCCATGGGATGGATTCAGAAAGTTTGGTGGGTATACATGTGGATTGTAGGGATATATAATATAACATTTATATATTATAAAAAGATGTACCTTGGTTAATAGATCTTCTGTGGATTAATTTTCATACCATGATATGGGTAGAGGTACTTGAAGATATTCGGTTATTAATGCAGTATATTACTATGTGCCATATAGATTCTATTTTTAGATGTATTCGTTTAATGTGTGTGGCTGCGATATAATATTTTCCTCTCATTTGAAAAACAGTTGAATACGTGCGATTTAGCTAGTCATTTGAATAAAAATTATAACTCATCAATCAATCAGATAAAAAGAAAAATAAGTCTAATTATAGTTGTACGGTACTCCGGTGGATATACTCATTTGGTTATCTGTAATCCAGAAAACAAAATCGAGAACTTAAGCTCGTTGGTTCCTTTGGTTTTTCCTACTGAACACTAATTTTACAGAGTGATAGATTCAAAGGAATTTTATCTTTTCACCATGCTAGACCACATTGTCAACGTCATTGAGCAATTGCCCAGAAATTTCATAGGCACGTTAGATTTGCGTGGTAGATTGATCTCTTCCAATTGGTCCAACGGCCAATTAGGTCCTTTTTTATGGTGCTGTGCGACGGGGGCTCACCAACCATGCAGCGGTTAAACGGCCCCGATTAGGGCGTGGATCCAATGGCCCAATTGGCCGTTGGACCAATTAAAAGAGATCAATCTAACATTCTCCCCCTTGATCCCACCTTACAACTTAAACTAACTTAACTTACTTACTTTATCTTGTTCTCATTCCATCGCAGATCAGTGCATAGAGCGTGCCTCATCGTCACGGTAAATTGCCATTAGATTAAACAGCTACAATGTATCTCTCTGTTTTGAAACAGATTCTCAACTAGGCCCTTATTGTCCATGAATCATAGGCTTTTCCTTAAACCCATGCCGGCTAAGTGTTCTCTAAACACGTTGGGTGGTGAGTCTTTTATAAGCGGATCCACGAGCATCTTTTCTGTTCTTATATGCTCAAGACTAATTATATGATCTCGGACTTTGTCTTTCACAACATAATACTTTATGTCAATATGTTTGGCAGCACCACTTGACTTATTGTTGTAAGCATATCATATTGCTGGATTATTATCACAGTATAACTTGAGTGGTTTATATATGTCATCTACCACTTTCAACCCAATCATGAATTTCTTCAGCTAATTCACCTGTCCTGTGGCCTCATAACATGCTATAAACTTGGCATACATTGTGGACGATGTAGTGACGGTTTGCTTTGAGCTTTTTCATGATATAGCTCCTCCTACGAGAGTGAATATGTATCTTGACGTGGACTTTCTGTCATCTCCCGCATAATCAGAATCTGTATACCCCTCTATGTGTAGGGAATCAGATCTTCTGTACGTTAGCATGAAACCCTTCGTACCTCGCAGGTAACGCAAAACTTTCTTTACTAATTTTCAGTATTCTATTTCTAGATTACTTTGATATCTGCCAAGTAACCCGATAACAAATGCTAAGTCAGGACGAGTACACACTTGAGTATACTGTAAACTTTCGACAACTGAACTATATGGAACCGCTTTCATTTGATCGATCTCATATTGGTTCCTAGGATATTGAAATTCTTCATATCTATTGCCCTTGACTATGGGAGCAGGTGAAGACTTACAATTTTACATACTGTATTTCTTTAGAACTTTTCTATGTATGCATTTTGTGATAATCCTAAAACCCTCTTTTCTCTATCTCGGTGAATGTTTATTCCTAGAACGAATGAAGCTTCACCGAGATCCTTCATATCAAATTTCGAGGACAATAACTTTTTTGTTTTCAGTAGTAAGATTAACATCACTGCTAGTGACTAAGATGTCATCCATATACAAGACTAGAAAAATATATTTTCCATTCTTGAACTTTTGCATAAACGCAATTGTCCTCTATATTTTCTTGAAAACCAAACTTTCTTATTGTACTATCAAACTTCAAATACCACTGTCTTGAAACTTGTTTTAATTCGTAAATGGATTTGTTCAGGCGACATTCCGTACGTTATTTTCCTCTCACAACAAATATTTTGGTTGCGCCTTTCAGCTACTCCATTCTGTTGAGGCTCGCCCGGTGTAGAATACTGAGCAACTATGCAATTTTTCTATAAGAACCTTACAAAAGGTCCAGGAACTTGGCCATATGGGGTGTGTCGACCGTAGTACTCTCCCCCATGATTGGATCTTACTACCTTAATCTTTAAGTTGTGCTGATTTTCTATTTCAGTCTTAAATATCTTAAATTTATCCTATGCTTCCGATCTTTCCTTAATTGGATAAATATAGCCAAAACAAGAATAATCATCTGTGGATGTTATAAATGAATCATAACCATCCACACTCTTCACAGGAAAAGACCACATATGTCTGTGTAAACTATTTCTAAAATTCCTGCGCTTCGTTTGTCATTTTATTGAAATTATTCCTTTTGTTGTCCTTCACAAGGTTAGCAGAGTCACCCTGTGAGCTTTTCAGCCTCTCCTCTTCTTAAACACATATTGCAATGAGCTTCTCTATATCCCACTTATCGGGCTGCATGTTGTAGTTCACAACAAAAGTTTTATATTCTTTGGGTAAGGAAGCAAAACCAAATGAATTAGGAACTCATCCTTCCCTAAATCCATTGGCTTCAGCTTCGAAGCCGTGTTGCTCATCTTCAGTATGTGCTCTCTGATACCGTCACCAATGTATTTCTCATTAAACAATTTCTTGATCAAAGTAATGGCATAAGACTTTGAAGAGCCAGTAAACTGACCCTCCACTTTTGTAAGATACTCTATGGTGGTATCACAATTTAAGATAGACCCTCTTATCGCATCTGAATATATGTTAGATCTATGGCTACACGATCACGTAAAACTCTTTCATTATGGTCTCTTTATCTTTGTTTCAATCAGTACACGAGAATATTTCTCATTGTCCAACCTATACAGATTCTATTCCCAAAATAAGAAGTGTGGGAAACCACCCGTCACTGTACACATAGCTTTAGCAAAAGGTGTCAGAGTACTGTTGGTCTTCTTCACCTGGATATCCCAATCATACAACTGTACCAGTGACGAAGGCACGAGACAAAAAGGAAGAGATGACATGAACTCGACATGATCATCTCTGGTAAACTGGTTTCATTGTAGAACAGCTGCTTTGGCTTTGAGGTTACAGATTCGACGGATATCACTGTTAGATTCACATGGTTGCTATGCTACTCTTTTACGGTCCTACCAGAGCAAGACTACCAAACTGATGCTACCAAGCGAGCTAAATTCTTGGCCACGACCTAGGACCGATTGATCATCTCTTCAACTAATCTACATGCCATCATTGATCTACAATATCCAACCTTAACATACACAGCAATGGCGAATTGCTTATCCACAAAAGGAGTTTTCCTTGGGGACGACACGGTGACGGTGGCGATTGATATCGGAGACCAGCGAAGTCAAAACGTAGCATGGTGTTACTTTGGAGGGGGTGGCATGGTGTTGTCCCATGACCAGAGCTTCAGCGGCTCGCCGTCGTCGTCGTTCAGATAGCTGGGCGCGACGCACGGCGGAGGCATCCCGAGGTCGAACCGGATGAAATCATAGGCGTCGCGCTCCATCCAGGAATTGCCCACGTTGATGTACTCGATCCCGGCGGCGTTCGCGGCAGGGTTGTGCGGCTGGGGCTTCTTCTTGAGATCGTCTACAAGCCTCCGCATCCACTCCGCATCGTCGGCGTCGACGTCGCCTGGCGGCCGCAGTATCTGCACCTCGTCGCCGGGATCCTCGCCCGTCACGATGTTCTCCGCCACGACCTCCTCCTCGCCCGCGTCGACGGGCACGGCATTGGACGGGTTGGGGTCTTCACCGGAAGGCGGCGGTCCAAGCCCGCCGCCACCCGCGTCGGCTTCGCCCCGCGGCGGCTCTGTCGGCGGCGGCACCACATTGTTCGTCGCGGACGCGGAGTCCTCCTCGGCGGCCTCGTGGTCGTGCACGAGGCCCGGCGAGAGCGTGGCGCGATCGGCCGCGCCGCCGGGCGGCGCTCGCACCTTCAGGACCCTGCCCCGCGCTGCCACCAGGGCGGCCTCGATCGAGGCGAGCAGCTCCCTGAGCTTCTCCTCGGACATGCCCTCGAGGGAGCCGTCATACGACCCGAACGCATTGGCCAAGCCGGACTCCCGCGTCCTGGTCAGCTTCTCGCGCTCCTTGGCGACCTCGCTCGCGACGTGGTCGGCGAGGTCCTCCTTGAGCCTGGCGCGCTCCGCCGGCTGGAGCGCGTTGTACCGCCTCACCACCGCGTCGACCGCCGCCTTGGACGGCCAGCAGTCCAGGTCGCCCACGCCGCCGGGGCCCGTGCAGACCACCGCGACGTCGACGTTGCAGCGCGTCAGGAGCTCCCCGGCCTTGTTCCTCAGCGTCTCCTTGCGCTTCGCGAACTTCGCGAGGCGCGCGTGGGGGGTGGAGGTGGCGGTGGCGCTTGTCCGACCAGCCTTGCCGCGAGGCATCGCTCCCTCTCCTCTGTCTCCTCCGGCCCCCTCGACTTGGCGGCGTGCGCGTGGGGAATGGCAGCCGACTCGACGCCGCCGCACCGGGGCTCCGCTCCATTATATACATCGGATTGGGCGTGCGGCAGTTACGTTTCGGGTCGGGTACGGACTTGCATAAAGAGCTCCGTCTATTCCTCTGCACACTTGTTTCGGATCGGGCTCGAACGCACGCACCGCACCGCACCTGTTTCGGGAAGGAACACAGACTCGCGCCGCGCCGCCGCCGCCGCCTCGACTATGGCGCCGGCGTTCTCGGCGCATGTCCCCGCTCTACGACGTGGAGCACTGCGCGTGCGGTGGGTCACGGCGGCGCTGTTCTCATCGGGGATTCTCGCTGGCAACAAGCCGGTTCTGGTAAGGGCTGAGCCTTCATTTCTTTTCCCGGTCACAGAGAGATCTCTCTGCGGCGGTTGTGAACGACATGGGGGGGCTTCGCAGGTGCGGGACTTCGTGAGGTCAGCGCTGTACGATCCCAACCATGGCTACTTCTCCAAGCTGGCGGGGCCGGTGGGGGTTCTTGACGCCAGTATCCGCTTCAACCAGCTCGAGGGTGGTCTCCTAAATCTCTTACGCCTTGCACATTTCCTAAGTTTTATCGCATTGCCTCCTCCATGGGCAGGTTTGGTGTGTGTTCCGGCATTGCGGGGATGAGAGAGTACTTGTTCTTTGTTTGTTCGTCGTGTTGGCATTCCAACGAACAGCATGTGTGCGTGTGACATTCGGGACGTGTGCTTGTTCCTGGATGGCAAACTCCTTTTGCCGATTGTCTGATGCTGGTTCTGTGTCGTGCTGTGTGTTAATGTGTTGGGCATTTGGCGAATATGTGAGAAGCGTGCTCGGCCTAAAATTCATTTGCTTCAATACCATGTAGGGAGGAGTGCGTATATACAGCACCTTGATAAACTGTATAAGAAGCATGATATCGCTTGGTTTACTCCCGTGGAGCTCTTTAAGGTACCTTCTCTGCTTTAGCGGTTGAAGAGAATGAGGTTCTTTCAGTTTGGTCACTGATGCACCCTTTTCCCTCTACGGTGCAGCCATGGTATGCCTATGCAATAGCAGCATCGATTCTGCGTACAGCAAATCTTTCAGTCCCATTGAAGGTTGTGATCTCAAGATATCTTGTCACATCATTCTGCTCCTCAATCCACATATGAACCTCCAGATTTACTTTTCTTTGATCTCACGAATATCAAGGAGTATGTTTCATCCATTTTGCTTATGAATCGGAATCTTGTACTGATCAGATATATGAGATTGGTGGTGGCTCTGGAACATGCGCAAAGTGTATACTTGATTACATGATGCTGAATGCACCACCAAAAGTCTACAATGATATGAAATATATGTAAGCATATGTATCTTCATTTCTGGCTTCAATATCAGAAATTCAGAATAATAGGGTTCAAGCATGCCATATAAAGATAGATATTGCTGGCAGTTGTTGCTCTTTGTGCTGCCATGCTTTTGCCATTCTAGCATTTTGTGCCATATGCTCTTTATGCTTTGACCTTGCCTTTATCTTCATTTGCTAGCTCAGTAGAGATTAGCTCCTCTCTTGCTGAGAAGCAATTGGAAACTGTTGGTGAAGTGCAAAGCCATTTGTCAAAGTTTACGGTGGAGCACCGGGATGCAATTAACAGACCTGGATGGGGTAAGCTATTCCCCACGGCTGTGTAGGGCAACCTACCTTTACATGATTGGATATAAGTCTTCCTTTTCTATTTGCAGGCCGCAAGGATCCTCTTCCATGTTGGGTGCTAATGCTTGAGGTATGTTCTGCTGGGGCTTTCTTCTCAGTTTGTTCTTGTGTTTTATGTGTGAACCAAAGAAGCACAATGACATCATCATGTCACCTTCACCCATTATGAACTGAAGTATGTGTCCAGTTTAGGCATTTTATCTAGAAGCATAAAAGTCTCGCATGCTGTGGCATACAAAATACTATGCTGCAAAGAAACACATGTACTTGCTTCAGAATTTATCTGCTCTGTAGAAGTGCAAGTGTGGCATTTCACTCCATGTATGAACTTCTACGAATGTCAAATTTAGTTTTGTAGTAATATTCTGATCACAAACAATACGAAACTGCTATCTGTAAAAATAATAGCAAACAAAACCTCCTCGTTATCCCTTTTTGGTCATGATGTTACAAAGTAAACATTGCATTTAAAGGAAGGTCCACAGTGGTGCCTACAACAGTAACTATCTTTGCATGGAATGTCAGGTACTTGACAATCTACCACATGACCTTGTCTATTCACCAGATCAGGTCTCTCCATGGATGGAAGTGTGGATTGAAAAAGTAAATGGCAGGTTTGTGACTTTTGTGTTTTCATCAGAACCTCTGTTGTGTACTACCACAGTTGAAGAGCATCTATGTTTGCTCTTATGTTTATTGTTTATGTGGGTTTTCAACTGAGGACATTGGAAAATTCTAGACTTGAGTAAATGTTATGGAAGAAGCAGGCATATCATATACTACGCATACGCAACACACGTATTTGGCAGGATCCTTTTATCAAAGGGAGAATTATCTATTTGACACCGAAACAAATTCGTATTTGGCACTTAAAAATTTGAACTTCTTTGTTTGGCACCAAGTTAAAATTTTCTTCCCTAAATAGCACTACCGTCAATTTTTACCGTGCATATGTTAGTTGAATCGTTTGAGCTTGTCAGTTTTGTCTCCGTATGTCCAATATACCCTTCTACTCACGCATTCAGGATCCCGCGACCTTCTTCCCCGTACGGCCGAGCGCTCCTGCGACCTTCTTCCTCCCCAAACAAAAAAAAACTAACTCTAGATCGACGGAGCCCGCCTCTCCGGCAACGAGCGCCGCGAGCTGTCCGGTGGCGCGCTGCCGTGGAGCAGGCCAACCCGCTCGCCCCCGTCTCCTTCACCGCTGTCGCGCCATGCGCGCCGTGAACCCTGCTCACCGACCTCTCCGCGGGCGCCGTTGTCGTCGCGGGCCTTGCGCGCTCCAGGTTCGCCCTGCCGGCGTAGGTCGCCAGCACGCAGAAGGTCGCCGGGAGGCTCGCGCGCGCTCTGCCTCCCCGGCATGGGACTGGCCATGGGTGGCCTCGCTCGCAGCGCGGGGCCGGTCTGCAGGAGCACGCGCAGGAGCATGGCCGAGCGAGCGCGAAGGCCGGTGCGCCCTCCCTGCGCGCACGCACGTAGGCGCGCTGCTGTGCTGTGCCGAATCGAACGTGCCGCCGAGCAATACGGTGAACATGTTATGTCATCTGGCCATTTTTCCTCATTAAAAAAATAAATCCAGAACACATCAGAAATACTAGTATGCATACCTATGGACCTGAGCCATTCATCTCCTGATCAGCAGTCAAGATTAAAAGGCCTATATACATGTGGACCTGAGCCATTCCTCAGAAAAAATGAATCCAGAATACATCAGAAATAAGGGCATTCATGTCATTTTGCAAGCCACTTAACACCGTTACTAGTGAAAATAGACGGTAGTGCTATTTACGGAAGAAAATTTCAATTTGATGCTAGATAAAGAAGTTCAAATTTTGTAGTGCTAAATACGGGAGACTGATTTGTTTCAGTGCCAAATAGATAATTCTCCCTTTATCAAACCATTTAACTGTCACTCCATTGCTACTGGCCTATGGTTGATGATTGTGCATGGTGATTGCAAAATATGTTTCATTCTTAATAGAAAACACCAGGGGAAGTTCTTTGAGATGGAAGGTTGTGTGCTGTTATACAGTGTCCTCATGACATGCTTCTTTTATGCTCAGACTTTGTGATATGTTCACTGTTTACTTATAGTATCATTGAACGGTTGCCTCTTTTTCCCTATGTAGAACATATCTGCCATCGCTGTGCTTAGGGCTATTTTTTAACTAAAATACTGCCTGTATATCTGTAACTTGGTATTATTAATGATCGGAGTCTTTTCTACTATTTTAGAAAATTATATAGCTACTTATCCTTAATTTCACATGTATATCTGTTCTGCATGCCTTTTTTCTGAAGAAAGTTCACAAGCCTCTGAAGTCTATAAGCCACTACAAGACCCATTAATTTCCCGCTGTGTTGACATTATTGGCATGAATGAAGACAAAGCTTCTGTCAGTGAAAAACTAGCATTTGCTGCAAAAGGAGTCCTATCAAAAGTATTCCCGAAGCCTCGTAGAGCTTGGTTGCCGACTGGCTGCTTGGTATGCCTTTCCAAAAACTCTAGCTTTGCGAGGTTAGATCTTTATGGATGTTCTGGGACTTAGAAAATTATTTCTGATCTTTAATTCCTTTCGCAGAAACTAATGGATACTCTACATCAAGCTTTACCAAGTATGTCCCTTATTGCTTCAGATTTCAGCTATCTTCCAGATGTTAGCATACCTGGTGACAGGGCTCCATTGGTTTCATCAAAGGTGTGTCCTGATAGACTACAACTTTATCAAGCATGCAAAGCTCTAGTTTTTATAATAACTACTTCATTTCTCCAACTAGGCTGCAATGGCTACTTACCGTAAGAATGATTGCGAGTTTTGTTGCGTGCCATACAGTTACCAATTTATTCACAATTGAGGATCATGAGCTTTGCTTCTGATCATCTCACTTAGCTTGTTTTGCCCTTGTAGAAGGATGGGAAGACATCAGATCATCGCAACTACCTTGATGCTCAGGTACACATATAGCCATTTTTCTTTTATTCTCGTATTTGATCATGTGTCCACATGCCATAGTCAGTCAATCTATCAACCTTAGCTGTCCAAGACCACCGTTGGGATGGCTTTTCAAAAGCACTTACTTTTTCATATTTGTGTGTATCACTCCTTTGCTTTGCAATACTTGTCCACAGCTCACCATGCGCAGACTAAGGAAGTACTAGTTTCATGAAAAAAGAAAACAATGTGAAATGACCACCCATAAATGTTAATATTATGTACAACCATGCCTTTTCTACCGGATCATTTAATTAGTGGTAGATAGTGGAAATACTACAATAAGTGCACCCTTGATATCGTCAATGGACAAGTATTGTGGATAGTTTTCTCCCATGATCATAAACAAATACTGCAGGAAGGAGGGAGTAGTCAGCTGGGAGGATAGCTTTCTGGGTTATAACAGCGAAATCTACTAGAACCAGTAAAAAAATTTAGCTGGATTATGCAGTGCGACATAACAAACCAAGCAGCAGCAAATAAAGAATAAACCATCAGATGGGGCTGGGGCACATTAAAAACTCTTAGCAAATATACTACTATGCCTTACCATTTTACCATGTTAGAGCATAGTTAATAATACAACCAATCGCTGGCTATACATACATTTATAGTTCATCTATCAACCCATCTATATAGTAGTTGGCTACGCTACTAGGACATGCTTCATCATTAATATTCAGTGTTTTTTTAGAGCTCATGCATGAGCTAGCTGTAAACCTACAGCTCACTTTTCTTCTATCTCCACCTCATCATAAAGCTCGTTGACAGCCCCCTTTATTATACTCTGCTCTTAGAGCAAAGCTAATAATACAGCCTTTTGTTGGTTGTATGGATTTTTGCAGCCAATCTCTCAGCCAATCCATATAGTAGTTAGCTCTTCACTATTGATCACGGCTCACTTATCTCTCTAAGTTTTTTGGTTATTGTGTCTAAGCCGGCTATAAACTTACAGCCCGCTTCTCTTCTCTCTCCTCCACCTAAGCATGTAGCCCACTTGCAGCTCTTTAGTATACTTGCTCTTAAGGTGCTGTATGCCTGTATATGAGCCAACAAATCTGGTTGCATGCCAAGGTGATGCGGTTATTTACTTCTGAACAGCTTTCTCGCATCTGGAGCCAATTGACCATAACTGCTCTGTTGTTTCGACCTGTATCAAACTAGTGTCGCATCACTTGTTTGTATTTACTCGGCAGGGTGACGCGGACATCTTCTTCCCAACCGATTTCTGGCTATTGGAGCAGATAGACCATAACTGCTCTGGCTTCTCAAAGGAGCAGAAGAATCCTGGCGCATTCAAACCCGTGAAGAAGAGGAGGACGATCATAGTAAGTTCTCACCCTCTCTGCATGCATGCCGGCGTTGCTCTGCAGGCTGCCTGTGCGTATTGAACTAACTGATGTGTCGGCCACCGTGCAAATTCCGCAAATTCAGCTTGATACTGCAGCCTTCATGGAGGAGTTTGGCCTGCCGCTGAAGACAAGGACCAAAGACGGGTATAATCCGCTTCTCGACGATTTCAAGAACACAAAGTTCTATCTCAGCGTCCCTACACACAACGTTCCTACCCACAACAGGAAGTAATCTCCTTTTGCTGCTGCATCTGTTCGCTGTGAGGAGTCAGGACAAAACATCTACCACACTGGAACCACCGCTGTCAATTTGAGTAGCCTGAGTTTGCAGTTGCAGCCTTTGTGAAGCTTCATGGGACAGTACTACCCGAAGGGGTTGCAATTTTGCAAAATTTATTGAGTGGTCAGGAAAGGCACGAGTTTTTTTTTTAATACAAGGGTTTTGATGTTATGTTTGGCACAACTGCATAGTAATAAAAGGCAGAAGACTGAACAATATCGTGGTATGCAGCGTGAAACGCGTGCATCAATGCCACATCTCTTACACTATGTACTTTAACACCAGTACTGTACTGCCTGTCTACCAGCGTCGAGATATGAGCTGACCCAGCTTAACGTGAACACGAGTACACGACAAACCAAATGAATGGTAAACAATTACCGGATGCGTATTCAGCTCGTATGATGAAAGAAAATGTTCTGTGGATACAAAAGGGTCTATTCTTTGCGACTATACTTTTCCTTGTCAATACAAGCTGCAGACCCATACTCCAGGGAATTACATTATCTTCTGTCAAAAAGAAAGAATGGTTACATCGAATGGCTCCAATTTACAGCTTCTCACCATGCTATCAGCAAAACCGGGCAAACAAAAAAAAAGTTATATAAAGGCATGTTTGGATATTGGGGATTTGGAACAGATTCCTTAAAATTTAGTTCAAATGTGAACTAAATACTTGGTGCTCCTAGAGCAACCCCTTTCATCTAAACAAGCCTTAAATGAAAGAAACATCTGGTATACTAGGAGCTCTATTTTCATTACAAAAGTTTGCTGGTTCGCCGTTTTGGCCCTCCTGGGAAGAGCTTCATTATCCAGCCAAGCACCCGTTCAACAACCTGAGTCATATTCCAGTGTCAAACGTCTACAAAGATACCGCCTCTGTTTAAAATTATAAGTCGTCTTGGCTTTTCTAGATACCACATAGCTTTTACTATGCACCTAGATTTACGCTATGTCTAGGTACCTAGAAAAACCAAAACGGCTTATAATTTGAAATGGAGGGAGTAGTTTTCAGGGTGATATGAACTTAATGTGCATATGTAAAGTTCAGTCTTCTTAGCTCTAACTCTTATTCAAGCTACAAAAAAGAACACTGGAACCATACTCTGGGGAGTGGGGACACAACGTGACAGCACGGAATTTTCCATCAAGGATTATGTGCTAGGATCAACCATCAAATTACTTGGTGAAGAACACTTACCTCATCTCCTTCATCCGCATAAATTGCTGCATCATTGATGGAGCGTGTGTCAATTGGTTTTGCCAGGGCATTCTCGTTAGCCATCCTTTGAGAAGTCAATAGTTCAAGCCTCTGTGTCTGAATCTCCAGCTTTTGTGTTAGGTCCTTATTCAACTCCTGCAGGATATAAGAGTAAATAGCATTAGTAGATGCACAATTACAGAAGTAACACAAGTCTTCCTACACATGTTGATCAGCAAACATGTTTTCCAATAGATAGAAGCTTGATACAGCAGGACCCAAGCCTTAACTATGTCATGAAACAGGCATCTCACCTACATTACTAGATGCTGCATAAGAGAGTAAGAGGCAGACAATACCTTCAGCTTGGAGCAGTTGGATGACTCAATTCTCAGTGCTCGCAGCAGCTCTTCTCTCTCCACTGCTAACTGCAAATATGAAAAAACCATATCATAACCACAATAGCTTTTACACCAAAAATCAAGTAGGTTATTTGAGAAATTCTGGTTGGTATAAGGATAGCTCCACATTTATGAAAATAGAAGAGATTACCTCTGACATCAAAGAATTGATGTTGTCTATCATTCTAAGCTGATCATCCGGAATGCTAGATGAGACCTCTTCTAAGGAAGGAAAATCAGACATAATGTTGGAACGCCTAACAGAAGTTCCAGCATCTTCCAATGTGTCAACAGTGCTGGTCAGCGTTTCTGAAGAGCTGAGCTCCCCAGTATCTGAATAAAGTAATAAACCCATTAGAGCTCAGCCATAAAAATATAGTTGATATTCATTGATATAGATAAAGAAATAAAGAGATCTTAGTATTCACACCTAAATCCTCTGTTGCAGTAGATGCATCCCTTTTATCAACTGAAGGTTTCTCTACAGTAGTTGTTGCCCTCTCATTCACAGGAATGTTCCTCAATTTAGAGTATAGGAGCTTCTTTTCTGTCCAAACAGAGAGAAGAGAAACAAAAAATAGGCATATCAGCGCACGAGGCTAAAACAAGCGCACACCAATGTGTATGCAAGATGTAAACAAATACTCTAGGATTGACTGGAGGAAAATTTCAGAGATCAGCTGAGAAAGAAGAGAGCTCAAACAATTTAGATCGCAATGAGAAGATGTACCTTCTTGAAGAGCTTCAACAGTAGATTGGAGATGCTGGCGCTCCTTTTCTAGACTAGAAACTTTGCGCCTGCAGATGATTAATAGGAAAAAATAGTAAAAAAAATATCTATTACAATACCTGGAAGTTCAATTCATGTGTCCAGTAGTTTCTGGCATGTTTTTTTTTTTTGACGGTATTCTGGCATGTATTTTTTAAGGTGAATATGACATGTTTGTTTGCATAGCACCTCTAAAAATGCCAATGTGGATAAAAATGTGGATTTCAATCAATCGTTATACTTCGTTAGGATCCATTTCACATATCATCAAACACAAATATCTTGGCAGTCATACAATTGCAGCATGGGGCTTAGTAAAATCAGTACACAATTTCACCTGTAAGAAGAAATCTCAGAATGTAAACCTTCGATTTCCTTTTCAAGTTTTAGCTCACTTGACCTCAGTCTCAAAGCCTACAAGATTAAAATAAAAATCAAACTTCCACGAGCCAATGCTTAAGTTGGGCTTGGCTGAAAATGTTTAAGTTTGCATAATTTTCAAGTTTCACTAAAAATGCAGGGTAAATGCTAGAGTAAAACTATCCAATGAAATTAAGACCAAATAGGCAAATAAGCATGATTGTGCCAATAGCATACAGAGTGGATGTGGAACAAGATATTTTTTCTCGTATATGCAAAAATCTGTGTATCATTGCATTAAGAAGAACTCGAAGAAATACAATGCACCCGATATTGCTGTAGAAAAGAGAGAGTTCAACATCCTTAAGATTTCAGCAACAAAACATTTAGTATCAAGCCGTGCATTACAATAAGATACGATGAACCCCGCCTATATGGTCATACCTATACAGTTCATTTCCCAAATATTACAAATTATAGGTTTAGTTCCTGTACTGCATGTGAACACTGAACAGGCTGCTCCTTGTTATTCGGATTTCTTCCGATATGACAAGGTTTACACACTTTGCATAAATGACGTACTCTAAAGAGTCTGCCACGCTGTCAGGCAATTTCAAGAAGATTCATAACGGTACAAAATAAGTAAGAAGATAATAAAGCACCTTATCTTCTAGTAGAATGACTTCAGCTGCAAGTACTTTTGCCCTCTCATCTGCAGCATTGCATTCTAGTTGTGCATTAGCATACTCGGTCCTGACAGACTCCAGCGCCAGCTGTTGTATAAATAGGGTTAATATAAGGATTCTAACAGTATATGAAGACAGATGTTGTACCACAGAGATGACAAAAATTAAACAGCAAATACTGATATATAGTGCTAATCACAAACGTTATGCCTAACTAACAGAGAGGTCACTGAAAAATCAAACATAACACAGCTGACCTAGTGACAATTGTTTTATAGGCTCATAGCAATCAGTTGCTGTGGATTTAAAATGAGTACAATCTTTGCAGCATACTCCAGTTCATGACCATGTCAATTGTCAACCACCAAAAGACAAACACATTTTGCATACCATGTACAAGATAACAATCCAAGAAATCCCTGGATGTTTGATAACTGAAAACCAGACAGATGGTAGGTACAACTAGTTTGTGTTACTTTTGTTTGAGTGGTTGACTTTGAAGGCAAAGTTAGATTAGATTGAGTCCAATAGCCATGTTAACCTCATTGTTCTTATAAAATAGTATCTAGTGCTAGGGGGATTAAGCAAAGAGATAGACAGTTATTAGAATCTCCTGATGACCAAGATCAAGCATGGTGCCAACAAGAGTGATCTAGACTTTATCCTAGTCCTCAGAGCTTTACCCCGATTTCCCCAAGCAATCCATATCAATATTGACATAACAAGCAATGCAATTACTTAGTTCTAATATTGAGAATACATTTTCCACAAATTTAAATACTAGAAAAGGAAGAGTAGGTCTGACCAGTTGAGCTTGAATTTCTTCCTGCAATCTCTCCATGTCAGATGTCAACTGGCTGATTATATGTGCCTGATATTTAAAAATTGTGAAATAAGGATCATACAGTATACTAATTTTGATTAATACCAGATACAAGCACATGTGTAATCAATATTTATTTCATCCTTATTAAAGCAAGCTGTAATATATATAAACATATAGATGAGTACTGATAAAGCATTAGAGATAACTGATTGGTTGAAGTCTTGGGGTTGCTTAATACGATCAAACTTAGCACCTGTGGCTTCAGTTCTAGCTGCCCTTATAGCACTGTTATTACTACTAAGTTTAACTGCTAGGATTCTGCGAATATATACTACCCAAGAAGTCGAATCCAGCAATAAATGAGGAACTCGGCAGGCAATCACTTTTTCTGACAGCTATACCAGTGAGTTTAGCATCAAATAAATAACAGCACAACCAGATTTTTTTTTTTAAGTAAGATAGAGGTAGGGGTAGGCATTCCCAATGTTGGAATTTATATCATTCTATGGGTCATCAGTGACAAATTTCACGATACAAATCCAGTTTAAAACTATTCTGATAACCATCAGGGAAATTTGCACAGACCTGTTGGTTGAACTTATCAGTTAACGCAGAGTTATCTGTGGCCAAAGTTTCTGCTAGCTCTTGAGATTTCTGAACAGTACGTTGTAAGGAAAACTTCTCTTTTGTCAAATCTTCAATGAGCTGG